GCCCAGATGAGTGCATGACAGCAGGGAGTGCCGTTCACATCACTCAGAACCGGAATGGGGGGCAGAGTTGTAAGGATCAGCCCCTGACTGAGGGTTGGGTACAGTCTACAGACAACCTGGGATCTGGCTACCCACTGGGTTGAAGTTTTTGTTAAATCCTCATTGCATAGGTAACAGCCACACAGTAAACACTTGATCAATGTTTGCTGAAAGACGATGATAAACTTGATACTTTACAAGGTTCTCCTGTGTTTTCAGGATGTCTGATGTGTGTGTGTGCTCAGTCACGTCTGATTCTTTGTGACTTCATGGACTGTAGCCCGCCAGGGTCCTCTGTCCATGGGATTTTCCAGGCAAGAATACTGGAGTGGGTTGCCATTTCCTACTCCAGGGGGAAGTCTTAAATATTAATTAATATTCACTCACTCTCACACTGCACGTTTTATAGCCTGAGAAATAAAGCCTCAGCAAAGTGAAATATGCCATGCCAGGGAGAGAGGTGTCTGGCATCTGACCAGGATGAGAGTTAACTGGGTGGGCACTTGGTCATGCTCAGTGGTTACCGTCACGGAGCTGGACCATGTGGAAGCTGAGACTGGGGCCCTGGTCTCCAGGCTTCCCACATGATGGTTGGTCCCCTCCTTCCCCACAGCTCTGCACTCCAGAAGTTTATAATCCAGCTGGGGAATCAGTAATAAGAAGCAAGAAAAGGGTCCTTACTGACTTCCACTTTTCCCCCGGTTAACTCTTACAGTAGACCTGCAAGATCGACCTTATTAACATCCCCTTTTTACAGACAAGGAAACAGAGGCTCAGAGAAGGTAAGTAGCAGAGTTCAGGGCTCCCCTCCAGGTCTCCAAATCCCCAGATAATGAGTGAGCAATAGATATCGTTAAAGGCTTACAACGTAGCACTTAATTATATATGATTTCACCCTGTATTGTATGTAACTTAATACTAATTGCGGGGTTTCAGACTGAGCTGAAGTGAGAGGGGGTGAGAATGGCAGGGAAGCCTTCATGGAGACTTGGGGAGCTGAGCTGGGCCTTGGAGAGGATCTGGGGGGAGCTGGGAGGGGAAGGGAATCAAATAATTAAGGCATCAGGACAGCAGTGGGCTGCGTGGGGTGGGGCGGGGCTAAGATAATACTATTTAAATAATGGAACTCCGTAAATGGAATTCTAAGTAACATTCATTGAGAACTACCCATGTGCCAGATTCCACACTATGGCCTTTTTATTGTTATTGCATCCAACTCACCTTTGACTGTATGTTGTTGTTGCTATTATTTAGTCACTAATTCGTGTCTGTGACCCCGTGGACTATATAGCCCACCAGGTTCCTCTGTCCATGGGATTTCCCAGGCAAGTATATTGGAGTAGGTAGCCATTCCCTTCTCCAGTGGATCTTCCCAGATCAGGGATGGAACCTGTGTCTCCTGCATTGGCAGGTGGAATTTTTTTTTTTTTTTAACTACTGAGTCACCAGGAAAGCTTATGAGGGAAAGACAGATCCAACCAGACAGGTACTATTTTTACCTCCGCTTGACAGAAACAAATAGCACTGTTGTGACTTGAAACCAGGCCTCCCAGGTGGCGCTAGTGGTAAAGAACCCACCTGCCAATGCAGGAGGCGCAAGAGATGTGGGTTTGATCCCTGGATCTGGAAAATCCCCTGGAGAAGGGAATGGCAACCCCCTCTAGTATTCTTGCCTAGGAAATCCCGTGGACAGAGGAGCCTGGCAGGCTATAGTCCATAAAGTTGCAAAGAGTTGGACTCAAGTTAGTGGCTGAGCATGCAACACACACTGGACTCCAAAGCTCACATTCTTCACAGCTCAAGTTCAATGCTGACCTGATTAGAGGTGGACATATTGTGAATAATGAAGAGTAAACAGGGCTGGTCCAGTGCCTCTCTGGAAAAGTGTGGCCCACGGGCATTGCCTGGGAGCTTGTTACAGGTGTCAGCTTGGGCCCCTGAATCAGAACCTCACTTTCCACACAGTCCCAGGTTATTTGTGCATGCATCAGCATTTGAGAAACATGGGGTTGATGAGAAGTTTTGCTGGCTCTGTGCCTGAGCTCTTCAAATCTTTCCAATGACATCTCCCTCCTGGCAGAGGCGAATAAATGTATTCCCGGAGGTGAAAACCCAGGGCAGCCCACCCCGAGCTGAGATCTCTTTGAAGTCTCATATTTCATCTAAAAATGTCATTGAATATTTCATCCCATACCATAATATATCAGTGGCCATTTTAATATCTCAAAATAGTTATGTAAATTCCGTGGAGTAGGATCCATGTTTCCGGAAGGCGCATGGGATGGGTTTCCTTGTATCTTAAATGGGGTAGTAATAACCACTTCAAGGGTTGCCGTGAAGATCAAAGGAGAATCATGTATATGGAAATGCTGCGTAAACTGTCCGCCTCGTACATGCATTGTTCTGAAAAAGGAACTGAGAATCTTCTCCAGACGCATATCCCGCAACCTACCAGCTCTCCTGAGTTCATGGTGCTTTCCTCACAGTCAAGATGAGGCAGGACTCAGTCCAGGGAGGACCAAGGAATGTCTCTGGGCTTCTCAGGAAGCCAGGGAAATAGGAATAGAAACACCTATTGCTAATTTGTTTAAATTTCTTATGATTTCATAGTATCATCCTTTCTTATTACTCCTCACTTCCTGATTGGCCAGATTAGTTAGCCTGAAAACCCCCGGGAAAACTCGGAGGCTTCGGAGACTCAGGGTGAGAGAGAATGTGGGAATCCAGCATCCTGTCCCCTGGTGGCCCAGAGAAAGGGAGCCTGGGAGGAAAAGTGGGGGGGGGGGGCGACAGGGAAAGAAGGAAGCAGATGGTCACAACCTAGGGCCCTTCCTGCAGGAAAAGGGGTGAGAAGGGGGCTGGCTGTCAGCCCTGGTCTAGTAGGGACTCTCTGGCCTCCCCGCCCAGGGGACCCCTTTCCTTGTTATCAGAAGGAGATGGGAAGGCAGAGCGAGAAAGACCCAGAGAGGCAAGATGGACAGAGACAGTGACCATCCACGTCCAAGGCCAAGGAAGATGGGCAGCCAGAGAAGGTGCGGGAGGGAGGAGCCTCACTCAGAACCACGGAAGCTAGAGGGGGAGAATTTGGGGAACGGATGGGTCAGAACAGCTCCCCGTGGCCCCGGATCAATGGAAAAGGATGAAGCCGTAAAGAGCTATTATATTTGCTTAAGGAGGTTATGGATCACCCTTGGGAAGAGTTCTGGTAGATTAATGGGGTGCAAGGCAGATTCTGAGAAGCTAAGAAGAGAATGATGGAAATTCTTTTTTTTCTCCTCCCCATGACAATCGTTAGGATTTTCACACAAATTGTGTTTCTATTACAAGCGTCTTACTTGCCATTTAACACTTAATCCGTCTGACTTGTGACTAGAATGTAGCTGACACTGTCTCTTTAGTTAAGAAGTTAAGTTAGCTAAGAAGCATAGAAGAGGGCAAAACATTGTTTACGGTATGACCCTACTTTCATTTAAAAGAATGTGTGTGTTTGTGTGTGTGTTTGTAAATGTGGATATATATATGTTATAAGCAAAGAAAAACTTCTATCAGATCATGACGGAGGTTTCACTGGTATTACAGGCGTCACTTGTTTTTTGGCTGCACTGGGTCTTCGTCGCTGCTTGTGGGATTTCTCTAGTTCCCTCCAGTGGGGGCTGCTCTTGGCTGGGGTCTGCGGGCTGCTCCCTGCAGTGGCTTCGCTTGCAGAGCACAGGCTCTAGTTTGCAGGCTTCAGTCCTTGTCGCACACAGGCTTAGTTCCTCCTGGGCACGTGGACTCTTCCCAGACCAGGGATTGAACCCGTGTCCCCTGTATTGCCAGGCAGATTCTTATCCACCTCACCACTAGGGAGGTCCGTATGTCACTTTTAATATTTATAGTTTATTATACGTTTACCACCCCCCCATGGGGCTATAAAAATCTTTAATAGTGGTTATCTCTAATGATCGGGCCATGGTATACAACTTACAATTATGTTGGCTGCAAATGACAGAAACTCAGTTGAAACAAAATAACGTTAGGGTCATAACTAAGTTGTCCAGACACTTAGACTTCAGGCATGGGTGGATCCAGGGTCTCAAATTATGTCATTAGGACTCTTGTTCTTTGCATCGCTGGGATCTGCCGTCTTCTTTCTTGACTTCACTCTCAGGCATTTCCAAGCCTGCGTCTCATCATCTTAGCCCCAGAGTGGAAAGAGAGCAGCTTTTCCCCAGGAGTGTCAGTAAAGTCCTTGGGCTGACTTTCAAGGGCCAGGCGCCGGCTGAGGCTCATCCCCAGGCCGGTGGATCCTTGCGGCCAGGGGAAGTACTGTGTTGATGGGCGAGACCATCAAGGTCATGTGACCTGAGAGGAGACCAAAGGAACTTTCAAGGGCATCTAAGGAAGCCAGCAAACTGGGAAAAGGGACTGAATGGTTCCCCCAAAGAAATCCAGAGTTCTGTGACCAGAAAGGGAAGCAGAAAACCACAAACATCTGCTTCAAAGGGACCTTCCCTCTCTGCTTCCTATATTTTTGTAATGACCGAGTTGTTTATAATAATCATGCATTTCTTTCACAGTGGCAAGAGAAAAAAAATGAGATTTCTCTCTCAAACAACTGATCTGGATTCCATATGGTTAGGGCAATAGAGATCACCAAATCACGAGCATGGAGAAAACAGTAAAGCCCAAATCTTCTCAGAGTCCTTGATTTTATTAGGGCATGGGAGGAATAGAACAATGAGGCCGGGGAATCAAATCTCCCTTCTCCTTTCGTTAGATTGTTAGTTGCATATGTTGGAAGCCCACTGGGCCATCAGTCTCTGGGGCTCTGGGTCGCCAGGGTGATGCGCCCAGGGAGCGGGGCCTTCGTCAAGGTCAGCCTCTGCCTCTCGGCCTCCCGTGGGGCGTGTGCTGTACCTGGGCCTTGGTAAACGCTCCCCTGCATTCCGACATCACACCGCTCTGTTTCTTGATTTCAGGGTTACACTAAGGACATGGTGACAGACTTTGATGAGAAGCACGATGAGTATTTAATATTGCTCCAGCAGAGGAACCGGTAAGATGCAGCCGCCCGACAGCAGCCCTTGATATTAACCAAATCAAAAGCCTATTTAGAGTTATTAACAGCGTGCAGGCTCGGTTTCACATTGGAACGGGCTGCAGTCGCCCTCCACGCGGAGGCTTGGAATAATATCTGCCGTCCCAGTTCCTATTTCTCCATTCACTGATTTAATCGCATCTTTCGATTGAACTGTAGCAAATCGTCAGACGTGTGGGGCCCGCCTCTCGTCTCCGTGCCTCCCGTTCTGGGAGAAGCTGGGTTTGTTAAGAAAAGCTAGAATTTGGCAGGGCCCGTGCGTGAATAACCTAGCTTGTGATCTCACAGGCTTTGAAGGTCCCCGGAAATCTGAGCCTGTAATCATGCCTTGTTATGTAAAGGGGGAGTCCTTTTACACTTGTGTTTGAAGTTGGTCAATGTCGTTTAAAGCTGTCAATCCTGATTTGACTCTGGAGTGCCAGTTCTCATAAAAAACCTGCAGCCCGATGCTATGTGTACTGACTGAGGTCAAAGCTTCTGGTCTGGTTGGAGAGAAGTATTAGGTTCTCCAGGCCTTTGCAAGGCTGTGCAAGTTCACTTGCCGTTCATTGTGGTTTGTCTTCAGGCCCTGGAACCTTGGGGAAAGCTGGGTTTGCAAACTTAGACGCTAGGAGGGGCCAGGCAGTGAGTGAAGCTAGCTCAGTGGGGACAGTGGGCACCTGGAACTCTCATGCGCCCAGGGGTTCATATCCTCCAAAGTGACAGGAGACAATGAAAATCTGGATTTGTGTGGCGAAATATCCTGAGTTTTAAAATGTTGGTGTGTACGTGCTAAGAAGCTTCAGTTGTGTCCAGCTCTTTGTGAACCTATGGACTGTAGCCTGCCAGGCTCCTCTGTCCATGGGATTTTCCAGGCAAGAATAATGGAGTGGGTTGCCATGCCCTCCTCCAGGGGATCTTCCTGACCCAGGAATCAAACCTGCATCTCTTGGGTCTCTTGCATTGGCAGGCAGGTTCCTTACCCCTAACACCACCTGGAAAGCCTTCCCCACCCAAGATGTTGGTAATGAATTCAAATCAAAGCCTAAAACAGACAGAAGGATACTACAGCCCCACACCCCCAGATCTGCAGGAGCTGGAAGGACAGGGGAACTTATTTGGGACTTGGTGCTTTGGAGCTGTGCTTGGGATCTTGTAGGCAAGAGAGCCTGGGGGTTGTTATTCTGAATATGAATTCAGCCCTTGTCTGATGGGCTGGATTCCCGGTGCTTGTCAGCTGGGGCCCTGGAGGCGTGCTGCATGGGGAAAGCTTTTATGGTGCAGGATTGCCTCACGTGTTGTAGGAGTTTCACGTCCCTGCCTACCTGTCCTCTTACTAAATTTCACTAAGACCTCCAGTATCTGTGACAACGAGACCTGCCCTCACTCCAGATGCCTGCAAGCAAGGCAGTCCTGCCCCCAGTAGAGCACCTCTGAATAGATAAACTCTCCAAGACCAGCCAGAAATGCCAGGCGATATCCCATGTACCCACGCTCTGTGCTCATCTCCCTCCGTCCCAGGGGCAACCTCAAACCCAGGCTTGCGCTGATTAGACCAATGTGGGTTTTTATCATCATCAATGCCAGGGAGCAGAATGTTCTTATTCAGTTTCTGGCAGGCTGGATGGTGCCACTGAACACCTGGGCGATCATTGAATCGTATACACGTGACTTGTCTGGGAGGAGAGTGTCATAGTTCCTCATGATCAAATTGCTTCTCATTAATCGAGGGATCAATACTTGCGTGATCAAAGAGGCACCGGCCAATAGCATAGCTGAGAAGAGCCAGAGAGGAGGTCACAGCACAAAGGCAATTAAAAAATATGCCAAAACGGAGCTGCCATAAAATTTGGGAGATGTGTTTGTCACCGAGAGGGAGCTGGCTCGATGCCAGGGAATTAGAAGGTAAAGCTAGAAACGCCTCCAAATGGAGACATGTGCAGAGTAGGAGTGCCCCGGAGCTGTCCTCAGATCGAGCCTGAGAAGGCACCTTTGCTGAGGTGCCAGCTGTGTAGCAGGCAGCTCGCCCCCATCATCTCGTTTTATCCACACACTGCCCGATAAGGCAGTTATTGCACCCATTTTACAGATGGGGAAGTGGAGACCAAGGACAGCAAGCATTTGCCCGGGGTCATGCAGCAGGGAAGTGGTGGAGCTGGGTCCTACATTTTTTTTTTCCCCAGCTGTGCCATGCAGCATGTGGGATCTTAGTTCGCAGACCAGGGCTTGAACCTGTGCCTCCTGTGGTGGAAGTACAGACTCCTAACCACTGGACCACCAGCAAAGTCTCTGTACTTTCTTATTTATGTTTTGTTTGATGCTGTTGTCAGTAATCCAGATGAGAGAAATCTGCCAGGGTTGCCAGTGGCTCTAAGTTCACTGTGAAGGGGTTTTGTAGGGATAAACTGAAATTGAGTTGGAAATCTACTTATAAGACTGGGTAGAGTGGGAAGGAGGTTCAAGAGGGAGGGTATATATACACTTGTATATAGATCTATACACATAGATATATACACATATAGCTGATTCACTTTGCTCTAGAGGAGAAACTAATACAACATTGTAAATCAATTATACACCAATTAAAAAAACGACTGGGTTGAAAACCAGCCTCTGAGCATTTTTAAAACTTTTTTTTCTATGTGGACTATTTCTAAAGTCTTGACCGAATTTGTTACAACGCTGGTTCTGTTTTTTTATTTGATTTTTTTGGCCACACGGCACGTGGGATCTTAACTCCTTGACCAGCGATCAAACCCTAACCCCCTGCATTGGAAGGTGAAGTCGTGACCACTGGACCACCAGGGAAATCCCAGCCTCTGAACTTCATATTGGGCACAGAGGGAGGTGAAAACCCCGTCTGCGTACTGGGTTGCCTGTGACCCAAGAAGGGGGTGTGTAATCACTGGGCTGAGTTCTCAGAGACCTGTCCAGAGCACAGCTCCCCACAAAATGCTGATCAGGTTATTCTTTTATTCTTTCAGCAGGATTCCACTGAGTACCTTCTCAGTGCCTGGCATGACCACTAGTACTAAGGAGGACATTGCAATGAAGGAGACACAGCAGCCCTAGTTAGCGCTCCTCTGCTCGAAGGGACAGGAACCCAAAGTAAATGACTTTAAACAGTGAGACTTATTGCCTTGTGGAATAAACAAATCTGGGATGATAACAGGCTTCAGGCATAGTTGGATCCAGGTACTCAAAGTGGGTCATGGAAATCAGTCACTCTCCATCTCTCAGTTCTGCTTTCTTACCTTGGAATCATCTCACAAAGGTGCCTCCCTCACAGAGGCCAAGGCAGTCCCTGGAAACCCAATGACATCCTACCTCTAGAGGAAGAAAACACATCTTTCTTAATAGTTTCAGCAGAAGTACTGAGGCCCATCCTCACTCAAAAAAGTCCTGAGTTTCCATCCGTGAGCCAACCGCCGTCCTGAGCCTGGTGGGGTGGCAGAGTCTGCCTGGCCCCTCCTGGGCCACCCCATGAAGCTGGACAAGGGTGTGAGTCTCACTCAAACCACATGGAGTCAGAGGAGGAAGGGGGGCAGTTCTCAAGGGGAATCTGAGCTGTGTTTGGAAGACGGGGGCGAGTGACTGGACAAATGAAAAGGACAGGTGTCTGTCACATGGCCCTGGCCTTCAAGGAGCTGCCCCCAATAGTGGCGGGTGAGCACAGGGCTACCCGGGACTAGGCCAGAAGGGGCCGAGAGTGATCATGAGCTCCAGGAGAGGACCAGGGAGGGTGGGGGAGATGCGGCAGCTCTTGTTGACCCACGCACAGCCCTTGCCCAGAGGATGTTTAGTGATTCTGCTCACTCGGCGGCCTCATGAAAGATGTAATCATGCCTAACAGGACCCATGAAAGAACAGCCTGAATCATCAAAGGACTGAGACAGGAGGAACAGTTAAGAGCAAACGGCTGAGTGGGGCTGTAATATACATGCTAGAGGGCTCTAAGATCTAAGAATCCAACAATGGTATTTTTTTTTTTTTTGAAAAAAAGGTTTTTTGAGGGAAACTTGCCACGAAAATGTACCCGAGTGAGAGGTGAACCCGCTGCTCCATGAGAAGATTTAGGCAGAAGGAAGAAAGGGGAAAACCAGCTCTGAGGGGGTCTTGTACAGACTGATCTCTGAGCTGGAGCTTTGTCTGGCATCCCCTTCCATCCTCATGAGCTTAGGCGTCCTGGGTCTCATTTTACAGAAGAGGAGACAGGCCCCGGAGGTGTAGGGACTTGCCCACGAAAGCTGGGAAATGGCAGAGCCTCCAGCACAGAGCTCGGTCTTCCACACCACACCACCTCCGCCCACACGGATGGGGGCTGGTGACCTCCTAGAGGACAAATACTGGAGCTTGTGAGCCACTAGGTTCCAGGAGGAATGGCAGACTCCTTGCACCACTGTCCCCTGCCTCTCCATCCTTCAAGGCTTCATTCAAATGCCCCTGCCTCCAAAAACCCCTACCTGGAGCTCTGCTTCTCCTCTGCACTCTCCTTGTGTGGAGCTCTGTGGTGTGATGCCTGGTGAGGAGACAAGAAACGGCAGGATGACGTGGCAGGGAGATGAGCTCTGGAGCCTCATGGACCAGAATTTAAATCCCGGCCACTTCCTCGACTCTCTAACCTTGGGCAAGTACGTCTATAAAACAGGCCAATGCCAGGATCTTAATTCCTGGGCCAGTGAAGGACTGAGAAGGACAAGGTGGTTGAGGGTCTGCAGTAAGCCCACCCATCCAAGTACGCTTCCTCCATCATCGTCATCATCATCTTGTTGGTGATAAGCATGTCTCCTTGAAAGTGAGCTGAGGGGCTTCCCTGTGGTCCAGTGGCTGGGACTTCGCACTCCCAATGCAGGGGGCCTGGGTTCGATCCCTGGTTGGGGAACTAGATTCCACATGCCACAGCTAAGACCTGGCCCAGCCAAATTAAAAAAAAAAAAAAAGTGAGCAGACATCCAGATAATCCTTGAATGCCTGACACT